AAATCCCTGTGTTCATGGAACCCACACCTTCGCACTGGCTACTGTTGCCCCTGCCTGGATCACCCTTTCCCTGGATTCCAGAAAGGATGAATGAACACCCCGCAGGGCCTGGGCCCCTGGAGGCCAGAGAAGCCAGGGCCTACAGCCTTCAACTTAGGGGCAGCTCCTGACGCTCAGCGTGCCCCTTCACCCCACCCCTCCCTGTGTCCCTGCAGGACTACGAGAAAGCTCTGTTCTTCCCCTGCAAGGCCGCAGAGCTCGTCAATGACTATGGCAAAGGCTGGAGCCTCAAGTACCGGGCCATGAGCCAGTACCACATGGCTGTGGCGTATCGCCTGCTGGGCCACCTGGGCAGTGCCATGGAGTGTTGTGAGGTGGGGCAGCAGGGAAGCGGGCAGGGGGTGGTGTGGGCCAGGGTCTGGGGCCCAGAGCAGGTGGGTCTCCTCCTTCCAGGTCAGCCCACAGAAGCCTCCTGTCTTGCTCCTGCTCCAGCCTTTCCATAGCTGAGCCCTGAGGCTGCATGTTTCTCCCATCCCCACCTCACTCCTTCTAGTCCATTCTCAGGGTGGGGGGCTTCCCTGTGCCCCCCCGTCCCCTGGGGGACACTTTAAGTTGGAAGAGAGCCATCTCTGAAGTTCTACCGACCTGGGTTCAAATCCCAGCTTTGCCTCTTCCTAGCCAGGTGGCCTGATGGAGTCACTTCTGCTCTCTGAGCCTCAGTTTCCACTTTGCTGGGTGCTGCGAGGCCCCACTGTCTCGGTGTGTGGGGCCCAAGAACCATGATCGGTGTGTAGGGCTCTGAGGATGTTGGTGATCCCTGGGCGCCCCAGTGGTGGGGGCAGACAAACAGCCCTGAGCGACCGGCCTCCCTCACAGGAGTCGATGAAGATCGCCCTGCAGCACGGGGACCGGCCACTGCAGGCCCTCTGCCTGCTCTGCTTTGCTGACATCCACCGGAGCCGCGGGGACCTGGAGGTGAGGTCACCAGGATGCGGGGCAGGGGGTGCAGGCCTGGCCCAGCCTGACCCCACCCCCACCTGGCTGTGCAGACAGCCTTCCCCAGGTACGACTCCGCCATGAGCATCATGACTGAGATCGGCAACCGCCTGGGGCAGGTGCAGGTGCTGCTGGGTGTGGCCAAATGCTGGGTGGCCCGGAAGTCGCTGGACAAGGTGAGGGTAGGCCCGGTCCGATGGCCCCCAGCTCTCCCAGGGCTCCCAGCCAACAGTCTGTGGGTCTGGTCCTCTGCAGGACTTTCACACACGTTGTCTAACATCAGCCCCCCCGCCCCACCCCCCCATCTAGGCATCCAGGCCATTTTCCAGGCTCAGAGAAGGCCCACACGTTGCCCAGTCACACGGCTAAGCTAGTAAAGGGCCAGAGCTGGGGTGTGAACTCAGGATACTTTAACTGCTTCCCATGCCTGCACAACACCCCACCAGACAGAAATGTTTCCCCTTCTGCATCTGAGGAAACTGAAGCAGGAGGCAGCACCCACAGAGCTATTGCAGCTGCACCCCAGTCTCCTCCTGCTACCTTCACACACAGGGCGGCTGCCCAGCCATGGCCCCCTCCCCATGCCCACTCTCCCTACCCGCTTCCTTGCCTATGAGCCAAGGCCTCAGTCAGACAGCTCTGTGCTCAGAGCAGTGCTTTCCTTCCAGGCCCTGGATGCCATCGAGAGAGCCCAGGACCTGGCCGAGGAGGTGGGCAACAAGGTCAGACCTGATTCCGTCTCTGGGGCTGGAGTCAAGAGCCCAAGGTGGGATTGTGGGTGGGAGGAGAGGGCCCCCCGAGTCCGCTCACACCCCGAGCCCTTCCTGATCTCCAGGAGTTGCCCCAGCCACCCCCAGACCCCGGCTGTTTCTCTTTCACCCAGAGAGCGCTGCAAAGGGCTGGGCGAGAATTCTGCAGTTCAGAGGGTAGCAGAATTCCTCAGAACTTTCTTGATGGTCATCAAAACTCCTAATATGGCCTCCACTCACTGAGAGATGGGCATCCCAGGGCTCTTGTAGGTATGGCTTCCGGTCCTCGCTGTCTCTCTGCACAGGTGGGTATAGTGAGCCTCATTTTACAGATGAGAAAGGCGAGGCTCAGGGGTGCTCAGGATCCCACTACCTGGCAACTGGCCTGTCTACACTGCCCAGATATATGGCCTCTCTAAATCCAATAATTGTATCCCAACCTCTAAACAGTGAAAACAGGCTCAGCGTTTCTCACAGTCTTCTACAAGATGTGCATTTCTCCGAAGGTGGGTCATAGTCCCAAAATGCTTGGTGATAGCACTCGGGTGTACCCGAGTATCTTGGTCTGCTCAGAAATGCTAACAAGTTGCTGTGTGTATTTAACGAGAACAGGAAAACAATTATGGAGTGGATGCAACAGGTTCGGTCAATTAAACCCTTCAGAAACATGGGGTTCCAGCTGGTTCTAGGGGTGAAGACCACTGACCTCACCACCCCCTCATTCTGCCTGAGGGGAAACCAAGGCCCAGAGAGGGCAGGGCGTTTTTTCTAGGTCCATCAGCCAGGCAGGAACGTGCCCAGGACTGGACCCTGTACGGCCTGACTCCAGGACAGCGTCTTGGGCTGGGCAAGGGGAGGTGGGACAGCTGGTCACCAACATTGACCTGGTCTCGTCCCCTCCGCCCGCACTGCTGTCCCCGCGGCCCAGCTGAGCCAGCTGAAGCTGCACTGCCTGAGCGAGAGCATCTACCGCAGCAAGGGGCTGCAGCGGGAGCTGCGCGCCCACGTCGTGCGCTTCCACGAGTGCGTGGAGAGAGACGGAGCTCTACTGCGGCCTGTGCGGGGAGTCCATAGGCGAGAGGAACAGCCGGCTGCAGGCCCTGCCCTGCTCCCACATCTTCCACCTCCGGTGAGGGCTCCCGCTGGCCGGGAAAGGGGGCACGCGGGCCTCTTTGGGGTGCTCTAGGATCTAATCACAATAGTAATACTGACAGCAGACATTTACATAGTGCTTTCTGCGTCCCAGGTGTCCCTAAAAGCTTCCCATATATTAACCCATTGGATCCTCCCATTCCTACAATCATTCTCCCCAAAGAGAATTCCGAGGTGGTCATTCTTACGATCAGTCTCTCCAAAGAGAATTCCGAGAGGCCTCTGAAAGGTCATGGCATTCAGACACCTGCAGGTGACCCCTTCCGGGCCAGGGCAATGGGCAAGCAGGGCTGCAGGCAGGGAACTGAGGGCCATCCTCTTCCCCTGACACCTTCCAAGCCCCTGCAGAGGAGAGGGTAGGAGAGAGAGGCCCTGGCCCAGGATGGAAGGACGGGCTCAGTGAGTGGACAGAGCCCTTTGCCTCCCAAGGTGCCTGCAGAACAATGGGACCCGGAGCTGCCCCAACTGCCGCCGCTCTTCCATGAAGCCTGGCTTTGTGTGACATCGTCAGCACTCATGTCACCTCACCTGCTCGGCTCCTCCACCCCTGACTGGCCATGTTTTGGACGCCTGTTTACTCCCGGAGCAACCACCAGGCCTCCTCGGGCCTCCACCAGCATCTGAGGCCTGCCGACGGCTGCTCCTCAAGGCCCCACTGTCATCGCCCACCTCTTTGTACTTTGTTCTTTATAGAAAAATAAACCGTTTGTACGTGGTCCCAGCGATTCTGACTTCCTGCCCATGTGAGCGTCCTTAGACACAAGTGTCCCTCCGCACATGTGTGTGAGTGCCTCCAGCTGCCCCTCCAGGTTCTTGGGATGCCGGTGAGCCAGAGACAAAGATCTCTGCGGGAGGAGCTGCTGGCATGCAGGGGTGGGTGGGAGGATGCAATAGACAGTAATGGTAATAATCAAGCAACACAGAAAGTCTGTTAGGGCCCAGCTGGCATGGCACAGTGGTTGAGCATCAACCTATGAACCAGGAGGTCACAGTTCAATTCCCAGTCAGGGCACATGCCTGGGTTTCGGGCTGGATCCCCAGTGTAAGTGTACAGGAGGCAGCTGATCAATGATTCTCTCTCATCATTGATGTTTCTCTCTCTCCCTCTCCCTTCCTCTCTGAAATCAATCAATCAATACACACACACACACACACACACATACATAAAGAGAGTCTATTAGAAAGATGTTATGTACTGAATTGTGTTCCCCAAAGTTCATATGTTGAAGCCCTAACGCAGAACAGAGGACACAGGTGCAACAAATGAGTCTCATTTGATCCAGAGAGACCTGTCTTACTCAGTGAGATGAAAAGAAACGATTACAGACGTGATGTTTATTTTTTTATTTTTAATTGTAGAGGCTCATTGCCAACTGAGCTCTCACCACAGGGGCAGTGCTGTGGCTCCTGCTCTGAAGTTAGTAGCAGCAGTGATCATTCTTTAAAACTGGTTAAGAAGTCTCTCTGGGTGGCCAGCTTCTACTTTAATAAATAATTATAAAAATGCTGCCTGAGGTGTTATATCCCCCCCCCCCCTTTCTATTTTGCCCTTTGCACACGGCTGGCGTATGTTGTTTATAGTTTGGGAGGCAGAGCCGTTGTGCAAATCCCCTAATTCCTAACTGGGCCATACTCTGAGGTTGAATCACTCCTTCCAAAGCGCCCTTTCAGGTATGGGCCAAAATAAGACTACATTTCCCACAGGGCTTTGCGGCTCCCGCCCTTTCTCCCGCCCCTTCCGGTTATACATCCAGGCCCCGCCCACTGCACGCGTCGGCCAATAGCACAGTACAAACAGGACGAGGGCGGGGACTTCTCAGGAGACACGAGGGTGGGTCCTGTGCCCGCGCGTGGTCTTTTGAACCCGAGAAGCAGATTCGCGGCTGGAGATAAATCGGCTAGAGTCAGGACCTGAAGAAAGAGGCCTGCTACTAGTCCACGGCTGGTGTTAAGAAAGATAGTACTAATTTTCTGCCATGGCTCCTGCCCAGTCCGATCTTCGATCTTTTCCTCCAGGAAACGAATCTGCTGCCGAAACTCGAGAGTTCAGTGACTCGGCAGGAGAAGATGGCGACCGTGTGGGACGAGGCTGAGGTCCGCTGTGGGGCAGCTGGGGGTCCTAGAGCCGGGCCCGCGGGGAGACCACCTTGGCGGGAGGGGAGGAGATGCTCGGGGGTCGAGGTCTGGCCCGGTCCCAGGGTCGGGGCCGCTTGGGATGTGGGCAAGGATCCTGATTCCTTCGTTCTAGTCCTACGGACGGGGAAACTGAGGCCGAGTGGGCTTGGAGAAAGCGGGCACGCGCCTTTAATTAAAAAAATTTTTTTTAACAGCAAGATGGAATCGGGGAAGAGGTGCTCAAGATGTCCACAGAAGAGATTATCCAGCGCACACGGCTGCTGGACAGTGAAATCAAGGTGGGCGTCCAGGCAGGCCCGGGGTCCCAGCTGCCTCCCTGGGGGCGGGGTGGGGGGGGAGCATGGGGACCCTGTTTCCTCCTTGGGCCACAAAAAGAGAAAAGAAAACTAAGCCTTAAGAGGGACCAGAGAGGGACAGGATGTTGGGAGCCCAGGCCTGGAAGTAGGAATCAGACTGCCATTCCCAACGAGGTCTTTCCGTATTCCTCCCGAAAATCCTTCTTTCAGGAAATGGTCATTTTACAGAGAGGAAACTGAGGCCCAGAAGGTTTTTATTGTGAACTACCCAGCCCTTAATGAAAGGCGGAACCTAAAACTTCTCTTTGACCCGAAGTCCTACGCTTTCCCCTCGACTACAACTCCTTCACCAGGAGGTCGGCCGCGGGGCTGGGCACTCAGGGAGCCTAAGAGCCGCCGGAGCGGGAGCGGGAGGGTCCCCTGCCATGACTTCACTCCTTGCAAGGCCTTGCGATAAACAGCCAAGGCCCAGCATTTGCTTCCACTTGTCTTCATCCCAGATTATGAAGAGTGAAGTGTTACGAGTGACCCACGAGCTCCAAGCCATGAAGGACAAGATCAAAGAGAACAGTGAGAAGATCAAAGTGAACAAGACCCTGCCCTACCTTGTCTCCAACGTCATCGAGGTGTGTGTGTATGTGGAGGGGAAGAGCGGGGTTAGAGGGGCGTGGAGGCGGCCTGTGATGGGCCACTGGGGAAAGAGTGGGTGAAGTTTTGAGGCCCAAATTGCACGTTGGGGTCCCCTTCTGAGGGTCCCCTTCCTAGTGTGCATGTCTAGGTGCATGTATAGGGCTGGAAAAGGCCTCAGAAACCTCCCATGTCCAACGTTCTACTGGTTACTTTTCCTCGGGGGTAGATGAGCTTTGTCTGTGCAGAGAAGCATCATCTAAACCAGTGGTTCTCAACCTTCCTAATGCCGCGACCCTTTAATACAGTTCCTCATGTTGTGGTGACCCCCAATTTCATTGTTACAAATTGAACATAATGAAAGCATAGTGATTCATCACAAAAACAATATGTAATTATATATGTGTTTTCCGATGGTCTTAGGCGACCCCTGTGAAAGGGTCGCGTTCCACCCCCAAAGGGGTCGCGACCCACAGGTTGAGAACCTCTGATTAAACAAGAGGTCTTACCAATCCCATGGTTTATCCACTGCACTTGCTGAGCTCAGGGCCAGTGAGGAGCGAGGTAGGGACGGTCAGCCCTGCTGGCGTTGGGACGGCCTCAGCCCAGGAAGCACCGGCTCCGGGGAGTTCAGTGGGCTGAGCCCGGCTTCTTCATCTAAGCTCTTCCCCTTCCCAGCTTTTGGACGTTGATCCCAATGACCAAGAGGAGGATGGTGCCAACATTGACCTGGACTCCCAGAGGAAGGGCAAGTGTGCCGTGATCAAAACCTCCACACGACAGGTGAGGCTGGCTCAACAGAAGGAGAACGGAGGAGGGTGAGGGTGGATGTGGGAAAGGACTCGGGAGCCTTCCTGAGGGCAGTCACTGAGGCTGCTGCTGGGCTTTTCTGACAGACATACTTCCTGCCTGTGATTGGGTTGGTGGATGCTGAAAAACTGAAGCCTGGAGACCTGGTGGTGAGTGGTGTCCCCGAGCCCAGGCAGAGCTTTTCCAGTGACTCTCCCACTGAGCAGCTGAGCCCTGCCCCCCGCCCAGGTCACTGCTGGCCCGGAGTCTCCCAGCAGAGCAGCCCGAAGAGTCAGACCCTGTCTCCCTGCTCTGTGAATCTTGTGTTGGCCAGTTCTGTATCATTCTTTTCACTCTTCAGATACCTGTCACCCGGCCAATTAATTAGGCCTTGAGCTGGGACAAATCTGAAGGCTTTGTGCTGTGTCTCCAGGGTGTGAACAAAGACTCCTATTTGATCCTGGAGACTCTACCCACAGAGTACGACTCACGGGTGAAGGCCATGGAGGTGGACGAGAGGCCCACAGAACAGTACAGTGACATCGGGGGCTTGGACAAGCAGATTCAGGAGGTGAGGGAGGTGTGGCAGCCACTAGCAGCTCGCCAGCCTTGTGTGTGTCTCTGCCTCATTGACCAGGGCACTTCCCCTAATGTGCCTCTTATCCTCATAGCATCCTAGGGAGGCAAGAAGGATGCCGGGTGACAGTTCAGGGGGCTGAGATCCAGAGACATTGAATGATTTGCTTAGGGTCATGGGAGGTTAAGGCCAGAGCCAGGCCTGGAACTCAGGCTCCGTGTTTCCACCATGTGCTGCTGTTCCTGGAGAGACCATAGTCAGCCTTGATGGGAGTGAGGTTCTGCGTTCTCTTGATAGGGGGGAAGGGGAGGGCAGTGTCCCTGAATTGGAACAGGCGGGTTACAGATTGGGGTCGAAAGCATTAAAGGTTGGGCTGTAGGAGCCCTCAGGGCTTCCCTCTCCTCACCCAGGACTTCTTCCTGGCAGCTGGTGGAGGCCATTGTCCTGCCAATGAACCACAAGGAGAAGTTTGAGAACTTGGGGATCCAACCTCCAAAGGGGGTGCTGATGTACGGGCCCCCCGGTACGGGGAAGACGCTGCTGGCCCGGGCCTGTGCTGCACAGACCAAGGTGAGTGCTTTGGGAGGATGGAGAGAGATGGGCAGGCTGAGCACGAGGGCCCTAGGGGACCTGTCATGCTTTTGGCCTGATGGCGTCAACCCCATTCCCACCCCACGCAGGCCACCTTCCTGAAGCTGGCTGGCCCTCAGCTGGTGCAGATGTTCATCGGGGATGGTGCCAAGCTGGTCCGGGACGCCTTTGCCCTTGCCAAGGAGAAAGCTCCATCCATCATCTTTATTGATGAGCTGGATGCCATCGGCACCAAGCGGTAAGGGGGTGTTGGGTACCACCAAGGAGATTGTTCTAAATTCTTGCTATCCCACCATGTCCCCTTTCCTGGGGTGATGGCAGCTTTACTTTTGTGTTCTACTTCCTAAATTCTTTTCTGACTAGCTTCCCTGCTTCTTACCTGTTCCCCTGACCATCCATTTTCACAGCTGGCTGCGTGTTCCCTACACAAACCTTGTCACTTCGCTCATGTACCCACAGCCCCTCACACAGACGGATTCTCCTTAAAACCCTTCCTGGGCCTCCCCCACTGCTGCTTGGGCTAAATGCCTGGGCTTCCCATGACCTGCAAGGCCCCCTCAGTGGCTGTCCCTGCTCCCCTCGGCCTCATGCTGGTTCTGCCCCTGCCTCCCCCTCTGAACTTCCCAGAGCCCCCCGGGCTGGCAGGCCCCCCTGGCTCTGCAGCGAGAGAGATTGTGCACCTGCTGTTTCCTCTCTGGAATGTGCTCTTCCTTCTCCCTCTTCTTCAGTGATTGGTTGCCCAGCTGATGTGTTTTCAGCCTGTAGATCTCAGCTGAGGGACACTTCCTCAGGGATCCTGCCTTGGTTCCCCTTACGCTCCAGTCTGGGCTGGGTCCCGTATTTCTAAGCTTAGCTCAGTTTGCAGTGGCATGTTCATCAGGCGCTGGCCCAGGCAGTGGGTGGTTTTATCCTCAGCTCCCCACCTGGTCCCAGAGCCTCCCCAGGCTCTGAATGCTGCAGTCCACAGTTACACCTTTTCTGAGCTAGTCCCTGGGTGGGTTGGGTTCAGCTTCTGGTGGGTGGAGAGGAGGGGAGGGGCGGGCTCTGCCCAAGCAGTGGCCTCACCAGTGTCTTGGGCCTCCTACGGGCCTCAGCTTTGACAGCGAGAAGGCTGGGGACCGGGAGGTGCAGAGGACGATGCTGGAGCTTCTCAACCAGCTGGACGGGTTTCAGCCCAACACCCAGGTCAAGGTGAGTATTGTCGAAGGTGAACAACATGGGGCTTAGAGGCCAGGGTACCTTCCCAGTTACCTCGCTATGGCAGCCACAGTAGGAATTGGGGTCTGTCTTGAACATCCCCTGCCCTTTCACCTGGACCCTGGGCTGTCTTTCTGCCTGTTGTGGCCATGACTGCTGCCAGTCTGAACCCCTTTCTCCTCAGTTCAAGTTGCTGCTTCTTTCCTTGTTCAGGTAATTGCAGCCACCAACAGGGTGGACATCCTGGACCCTGCCCTGCTCCGCTCCGGCCGCCTGGACCGAAAGATTGAGTTCCCGATGCCCAACGAGGAGGCCAGGGCCAGAATCATGCAGATCCACTCCCGAAAGATGAACGTCAGGTGAGCAGACACCAGGAGCAGGCGCTTCGTGCTGGCCTCCCAGGCCTCCACCCATCCCTTCCTTCCCAGCCCGTTCACACACAGCACCTTTGTGTGTCATCTTCTAACCTCACTTCTCCCCGCCTGCCTGAGGTAGTCTTGCAGGGGCCAAGACTCCCAATTGTGGCTGCTCTACTCCTTAGACTCCACCTGCCTCCTCCCCCCCTCTCCCCCCCACGATAGGAAGGTCTGCAGGCCAGAGGGCCTCCGTTTCCCGGCCTCGCTGACCTCAGCACATGGGCACAGCCCAACCAGGGGCCAGGTGGACCTAGGTTTGGATCTCTGTGACCTTCAGCAGGTGACATACCTCTCTGAGCCTCAGCTTTCTTATCTGGGACTTGGGGGTAATGGCACCAACCTTATGGGGTTGTGGCAGCATCAAGCACAGTGCTCGGCAAGTGAGATTTTTAAGTGGTAGCAGCATGCTGACACGGCCTGTGCTACTCAGGAGAGGGCAGATGGCCATCCTTATCTCCACACCCTCCTGCTCCCCCGCCTCAGCCTGAGTAGGTCCCTGGGGTCTCCGGTACAGATTTCTAGAAGGCTGGAGCTCGAGACAGAGAAACCACCTTGTCTAGCCTGCTTCCCCCAGCTTGTGCCCTGAAGAGAACGAGGCACAGTGTGAGCTGACGGGGTGGGGCCGCGTGGGAGCACATCTGCTCCCCCTGCCCTGTCCCCATAGGTAACAGCCCTGTGGCATCTGTCCTCCCACAGTCCTGATGTGAACTACGAGGAGCTGGCCCGCTGCACAGATGACTTCAACGGGGCCCAGTGCAAGGCTGTGTGTGTGGAGGCGGTGAGTGGTGGGGTGAGGTGGGTGGTGGGTGCTTCCTGCCCCCTTCCCTGGACAGGGCAGCGTGACTTGGCCAGTGGACTGCTGAGGGGAAGAGGCTGAAAAGGCTTTGGCCCCCGGGAGCCAGGCCTAGGGTGCGGGGAGGCACCCTGAAGCTTGTGTGTCCTGGGTGCAGGGCATGATCGCACTCCGCAGGGGCGCCACAGAGCTCACCCACGAGGACTACATGGAGGGCATCCTGGAGGTGCAGGCCAAGAAGAAAGCCAACCTGCAGTACTATGCCTAGGGTGCCGCCCACCACCCCATCCCCTGCTCTCTTGCTGGTTAACATTCATAATAAAAGATGGTTTCAGGTCTCTGACACCTGCCTATCGCTTCTTAGTGGAAGGGTGGGGGTGCTCGCACGAAACCCCTTCCCCACACTCCTGCCTGGAACTCAAGACAGCGGTGGCCTCAATCCGGTTGTCACGGCGAGGCCCTCAGAGGCCTGTCCCATGGGTCCCTCCAGACTCCTCCCTCCCCACTCCCTGCCCCACCTCTGAGCTTTCAGGGTTGGTGGTGCTGGAGCCCTAGGATGAAGGCCCTACATGGAGCCAGCCTTTTTTTCCACATTTTGGTGCTCTGGCCCTTGGCCTCGCTTTCTTGTAGAGCCAGACTCTGAGCCTTTTCCCCTTGAAACACCTTTGTTTCCTAGCCTCCAAGCCTCTTGTTTTTCCACATGTCTTCATTAGCTGTTGTTTTTAAAAAATATATATTTTTAATTGATTTCAGAGAGGAAGGGAGAGGGAAGATAGAAACATCAATGATTAGAGAGAATCATTGATTGGCCCCTCCTGCACGCCCCGCCCCTGGGGATCGAACCCACAACCCGGGCAGGTGCTTTGACTGGGAATCGAACTGTGATATGGTTCATTGGTCAACACTCAACCACTGAGCCACACCTGGTCGGGCCCCATTAGCTCTTTTGGTCCATTTCCTCAGCTGAAAATGAACCTTGAGCAGGATCTTGGTCCATATGCTTTGAAAGCGCCCCTGAATGGCCTTTCAAAGCAGCAGCTCTTCAGAACTCAGCAGCTCTCACTTGCCCTCTGACAAAAGCCCCTACACCCTCCTGGTCCCTGGTCCCTTCCCCTGAGGAACATGCCTAATTGGGCTACAGACTGGGCCTGGGCCTTCTGGAGGTCAAGCTCCTAACCAGCTCCGATCCCTCCCCTGTGATCCCACCACCTCCAGGCCCGCCTTCCTCCCACAGTGCCCTGAGGTGCACCTAATCATCGACTTCCCACGCCTGCCTGAGGAGCCCCCGCACGGCCTCTGAAGGACTGGGTCTGTCCCCTGCCCGGCTCAGCTGTTCCCATTCCTGCATTCCCTGTTCCCTCTTCTGACCAGTTGAGGCATCACCTGTCAGACACCCTAGTAAACCTGCACGCACCACCTGAGGCTCCACATGGGAGCCCCAGCGCTGCCAAGGGGAGGGGGTGCTGGCTGGAGCCCGGGTTCCTTCCTTGACAGATCAGGCGCGTGTCCACCAGGTCCCGGTGTGTCAGTCAGGAGCAGCGGGTCCCTTTTTGCTGAAAAGAATGATTCGGAGCCAGGCTGTGGGCACAGCAGTTCGGGCTTCACAGCCCTGAGCAGACTCGGCGGTGCTGTGCGGACATGCTGCTCTCTGCCTACGGGCTAGTGGAGGCTGTCCTCTTGGCTTGGGTAGACAGCGCTGTGGGGAAGCAGCGCCTCCCGGGGCCTGGTCCTGTCCTTACACTCAGCACATTCAGACGTTTTTCTTTTTAATGAAAAATAACAATTTCATTGAGGCTAAACCTGGAGACACCTTTATGGATGGAGCTCCCTTCCTGGATTAATTACTCTGGGGCAGGCTGGGAAAAAGCCGCCCGTTCGTAGGTCTATAATGAGGCCACCACCCTTGGGGTGCGGGGGCTACAACACAGTGCCAGGCTTGTTT